CCCCCCCCCCCCCCCGCTGCCGTCCTGATTCCAGCCAGGAGCCTCAATAATGTTTAATGGGGGAGGGGGAGCCGGTCCGTAGAGAAATACTCCTGCCCTCTCTCCTTCCTGCCGGGGTGGGGGGGAAGGACCCTCCCCCTCACCCAGCCAGACTAGCTAAAGTGGCTTTCTGACGACTGCGGTGTTTTGGTTCTGCTTTGTTTGGCAACAGAGAAAGTATCTTTTGTGCCTATAAACCCAGCGGGAGCGCAGAAAACAGGAAGGGCGGGTGTGCCCGGGATAGGCCGGGACCCCTCACAGGGTGGGATGCGCCTCCAGCTCTCATCAGGGCACGGGGGTTTCTCTCCTGCTCATCTCCAGAGGTCTCGCTCCGAGCCCTGGGAGGGCCGGGCGCGGGGGTGAGGGGGCACCCGTTTCCTACCCCTGCCACCCCAGGGCCCCACTCCAGAGCAACAGCAGAAGCAGCTTGAAACCATCACACAGTAGCTCAGCCATACGTCTCCCACCCTCCCTGCGCGATCCTGAACCGGCTGAAAAGTTAGGACAGGATGTCAAAGAGGGGAAAGGGCTACAGAGTGGCACAGGGAGCAGCGCACGCGGGTTGGGGATTCGCCTTCCGCCACCATCACGGCCCAGTAGTGGAAACAAGATCTGTGACTCTTGCCCAAAACCCTCCATCCAAAAGTGTAGCCAGGGAAAAGCCTCTTGGCTTTCTCCGAATCGGGTCCCAGGGACAGATTTCTCCCTTGACAGCCTCTTTGCTCTGGATTTAAATTCCTACCTGGCTGGATTTTCCCCCCTACAGAAATAACATTCGGTTTCCACTCTGGTTTTGAGCGGGGAGGTTGCTAAACGTCGGGCAGAAACACCTCGCTGTTAAGAGGCAAGCTGTTCCGGCTTGAGCGGAAAAGCACGACTGCTCTATTTGCAGTTTGACTGCATCTTCAGATGCCAACTGCAGATAATATGCTAATCCGGTTTTCTCTTCTGATGTTATCAAAAGATGGAGCAAAGCACTGACATTTAGCGGTCTTCGATGAATAATTTTCTAGGTACAGGAAAACGACTTTAAAGCTAGATTAGCCTATTAGGTTTCTCCCCCTATTTAGCATCGTTTTTACCGGCAGAGCCAAACACAAGGAGCCCTGCTGCTTTTCTTCCTCCCTTACAGTCCCCAATTCTCTCAGACGGGTGACCCCAGATACGGAATTACTCCAGCAGGCCCTTTCTATGTCTTCTGGGGCTACTAGCTAGGTTCACACAAGATGCTAAACTCTGAATGCAGGGCTAGCTGTGCCTAAGATGCTCTGCCCAACCCGAATCTCAGCCGGAACGGAGCCGGCGGGTTCACACCACCTGCACGCTAAGCCGCCACCGGGTTTCTTGGGCAATCCAGCCCAGCCCCCATTTAGCTCAGCTTTGACCCAGCTGCCTGCCCTGCCCTGTGCCAAGGCGGGTGCCCCAGTCACCGCACGCAGGGAGGGTTCTTCCTGGGCTCGGGGCAACTGAGCGCTGTGCCCTTGAGCCCAGCCAGAGGCTGACCTCCCCCAACCCAGGAGGGACTTACTTTCTGCAGTGGCTGGTGCAGGGCTCAGCCCCAGCAGGCAGAGGAAGAGCAGGGCCCCCCGAGTGGGCCAGAGGGGGGCAGCAGGGACGCCCCTTGTCCCCTTCATCTCCATGGTCCATGAACGGCCCAGCACCGGAGGGAAAGCAAGTCTCGTGAGGCACGGCCGCTCCCGGTGGTTCTGAGGGGCTGGGGTCCGGGCTGGCTTCTCAGTTGGCAGCAGCCCTGGACCCTTGCTTGTTGCCAGGGGGCCCCGAGAGAGAGGAGTGCCCTGCCTGCCGCAG